CCGACAGTAAGACCCAACAGTATGGGAGCGCGAATCGTACGGGAGATTTCTCTCTCTTCGAAAAGATCGTGCCATTTGGCCTCTTCAGACTCTTCTTGGCATCATAGTTAATAGAGGGAAATGGTTATGAAACCCGGCAAAGTTCTTTATTATATGTTTTTGTTCACTATTTTGGGTGTATTTTAGGTGGTTACGTGTGTTCAAGCAACTAACCAATAGAAACGTTGCGATTACGCGTAATTCATGCATAGTGTATGAGCGCAAAACAAAAGATGTGCAAGGTCATGGACCTTCCAACATAAATATTGTCCTCTTTGTTTGCTCCTTTGAAGTTTGCCGGGCTTCATAACCATTTCCCTCTATAACTATTAAGCGGCCACTTATTAAGCAGCCAGCTATCAAAGTCCCAATGTCAGTATAATACTGTAAATAAAACCCCTATTAAGCGGCCAACCCCTATTAAGCACTGCCACTGGCCATTTCCCCGAGGGTGGCCGCTTAATAGGGGCTCGACTGGAAATGAATATAATTATTTTTGAAAAGTTATCTAGTACCAACCTTGAGAATATTTAGTTCTGCGAGCGAGTCTTTTGCTTTTCTGTGCCTTTTCTCCTCTCTTCTTAAAACGTACCCATAGCTCAAGGCTGTGAACATCTCCTGTTCGTTTGCGATCCAAAAGCTTCGTCCATCCTATAAACTTGTAGACTCGACCTGGCAAAACTCTGCTTCCTGTGTAATACAATAAGTGACAAAAAGTATAAAGCCGTTCGTGGCCAAACTGCCGGAGGTTATCCTGGTTTCCGTAGCATGAAGCCGACCGCCCTGGGTGGGATGCTAGTCCAACGCCAAGTTACCCCCAGTATTTTGTTAGATTGCCCTAACAGTTCGCCGGTACTCATTTATACTCCTGGAAGTCTTGCCCAAGAACACAACAGAGTGATCCCGGCCAAATTATGTCCTAACTTCGGCGGGAAATTTTTCATCTCATAGTGAAATTATGAATTAGTCCCCAAGCCCTGTTTTTAACGGTGTTAAGCTCAAGTCCAAATGGAAACAGGACGATTAAATGTCATAGTTGAAGTTCTCCATGAAGCCCGCAGAATTTGGAAATTTTGATTATGTTGTTTGTAGAGGAGGGCTTACCTGAAACGCGCAATGTTGTACAACGCCGGCGTGCAAAGCCACTGTAAAAGGTAAAAAGGTAAAGCCGAACTCGGGTCAAACTAGTCTACACTTATCCCGGTATCCGTAGCATGAAGCCGACTAGCATACCATCCAGGGGGAGTAGTAATACTCCTAGGCCAGCATTTTGTCGCCGGTACCCATTTATACTCCTGGGTGGAGAGAGGCACTGTGAGAGTTAAGTGTCTTGCCCAAGAACACAACACAATGACCCCGGCTAGCGTTCGAATCCAGACCGGTAGAGTCCAATGCGCTAACCATTAGGCCACCACGTCTCCCAAAATAACATTAAAAAATGTGCTGTAGGCAATGCCTTACCTATATACTGTCCGGGTCCCGCCCATTCCGAAAGACGCGCCAGGCAAATGCCACTGTACTGTCCTTCCTTTGGTTGTTGTCGAGTGTATCGAGCAATAACTCCACCACGTGGATCATCAGTCTCGCCTTGGCAGCTCCATCCCTTCACTGGATCATTCACTAGCGGCTGTTCAAATCCAGGATTGGTCAGAATGTTGATGCCGCTCATTGGTGGTCTGTATACTGAAAATTACAATAGTATAATATATCAAACACTCGAGACAGTGTTTCATCCGATTTCCAAACACCGAGAAGAGAGTTGAAAATACGACGCGTGGCGGAGTATTTTTGACGAAATTCGAGGTGTTTGGAAATCGGATGAAACACACTCTCGAGTGTTTGATATATCTTTTTAAATTGAAGCAAAAACTAAGGAGTACGCCGAGTCCATACCGAGTCCACACAGCCTCCAGTGCAGGCCTCCCACTGGCATATATTCGCCAATACATAGAGCGGTTTCATTTGAGTGTCGTAAAACCAAAAATCAAAACAAAACCATGATTGGTTTTGGTTTAGCATCTGATTGGTTGAGTAGGTGGCGCGAGTTTTTTAAACCAATCACATAACGTAGTAAAGCAAAACCAATTTCGGATTACTTTCGATACTCAATTGAAAATCGCTCTATAGGCTGTTGCAAAGCAGGATCAAAATGATCGAAGTAGAAAGTCGAGAGAAAGAATGAAAGTGCCTTAAAAATGCTACTTTACGGATCATCTAATTTCTTCTAATAACATCAATATATTGTCGAGCAGACGGGTGGTAAGAAGAAGAGAATTAATCAACTAGTGTGGAAGGGAAACTGTCTTGATCTACCTTCAAATTCTCAGAATATGATTATAAGAAATACAATCACTGACATTTGGAGCTAGGAAACGTGAATTAATATATGAAGCACGAGAGGCGATTTCCAAATATCCAGAAGAGAGTACCTGAGCGGAGCATTTTTGAAGAAATTCGAGGTGTTTGGAAAACAGATGAAACACTGTCTCAAGTGTTTGATATATCTTCTCAATCGAAACAAAACCTAAGGAGTAAACGGAGAAATAAAATTAAAAGCCTCCTACCTCCATAATCAAGCTCGTCAATTTCCTTGAAGAGTGGCTGCAGCATAACTGGCTGCAAGTGGCCATTTTTAACCAATGGGTGTCTAGCAGCATTTGCTGGAATAGCCGCGCTTTGTACTAAAGCGTTGTTTATTGCAGTCATAATATTACCAGCAGCTTTATCGCCATATGCGGAGCTGTAGAGATCATTAATGAAGTTCCTCTTTTCATATTCTTCTGTCTGAGAGTGACCTTTGACCCCTGATGCACAAATAAAAGAGCAAATGTTTTTTTTTATTATTATTAAGGGTAAATATATATTTTCTCACAAAGCTGATCTCGATCTCGCTTAACCCCTATACGTTATTGTAGCATGGAGCGACTAGGAGTATTGCTATTCCCATTTAAAATATAGACTGAAATTTCGCGTGCTCTGATTGGTTAAAAACCATGTTTTATCAGAGTTTAGAAAATAGCTGTCATATAAACGGCATAGAGTCTAAGCCGTGCATTATTTTCTTATAAAGCACGGCTAAAAACTATAAAGCACGCATGTCCCGGATGTTCACCACGCTCACGTCGCCTCAGTTTATAAAGTTGAACCTGTCGCTTTTCTTGACTCTTTTATCCGACTAATTAAGTTGAATATAAGCTTATTACGAGTTTGACCAGTAATGCCTTACCTGTATTGAAAACGAAGTGAAACAGTATCATCGAAGGCGACGGATCATGCAGAAAGAAAACAATTTCGCTCTCGGAGAGTGGCACGGTCTTGAACCGGCCGCGGCATTTTATCAACAACAGCGATCAAAGTGATTTCGCAAAACAACTTGGACCTGAGAAAACGTTTAGAGGTAAGAGAAACTTATTCTCTAATTCATAAAAGACGCCACAACACTATCGTTTTACATAAAAGCGAAATAGCAGCACATTTGTTTTGTTTTTGAACGTCATGTCAATGGTTAATCTGCAGAAATCTTGGAAAGAAGCCGAAAATTACGACCGGCAAAGTTGAAAATAAGCTTAGATTTGTCAAACTCTAAGAAACTTTCTAAAAAATTCAGGAGAGGCCATAATATGGAAATTTTCGTTGAAACAAGTGTTTACTCATTCAAGAAATGTTAAAATATCGTACAACTAGGATTATAGATTAGTTCTTAATTCACGCTACTTCGCGATTTTGTAAGTTTTGTGTTCTACCGCGCCACTCAAGCGTACGGCGAAGTTTTTTCTTTCAAGTTCCTGCTATAACTAAATAGAAGATGGTTTTCATATGTCCTATAAGAAAATGATGCACTTTTGAGGTCTAGAAAAGCAGCTGAATGCACTCGCCGAAGCGGCTCGTGCATTCACTAGCTGCTTTTCTAGACCTCAAGCGTGCATCATTTTCTTATAGAACATAGAAAACCATCTTCTATTAGGTAAATAAATCATAGAAAAGCGTGTTTTATCGTTTCGCGCGCGTAAATCTATATTTTAAAGCACATAAAGAAGCCAAAACCATGTATTATACTGTCATAAGACACTCCGGGAATTTGAGAACACTTGAGAAATATAGAAAACACTCGCCTGCGGCTCGTGTTTTCTAAATTTCTCTCGTGTTCTCAAATTCCCGTCGTGTTTTATGACAGTATAATACATGGTTTTGGCTTTTTTATTTGTTAAATATACTCCTGGATGGTAACGGCCGTTCAGGGGGCCAAACTGGCCTACACTGCGGATGCTTATCCCGGTTTCCGTAGCATGAAGCCGACTAGGACTATTGCTACTCCACCTGGGTGGGATGCTAGTCCAACGCCAGGCTACTCCCAGCATGCACTTTGTCAGGTTGACCTAACAGATCGCCGGTGCCCATTTATACTCCTGGGTGGAGAGAGGCAGTGTGAGAGTAAAGTGTCTTGCTCAAGAACATGTCACGATGAGTCCGGCCAGGGCTTGAACCCGTACCGCTCGATCCGGAGTCCAACTCGCTAACCATTAGCCCACCGCGTCTCCTCAACGGGCGGAAAATAAAACACAGGTAACCCAGCTTACCATCCAAGCTGTAGACGTCCATTGCAATTAGGCCACCTGTGCCATTGTAACATTTAGTCGAAGGACCATACCGCATGTAAGTCAGTGCTGTATGAACGTTGCCTACACATGCGGAGTCTTTAATTCCAAACACAGGGATCCCACGCGAGAAAGCGGCTTTCGCGCATTGATGCAATAGTGAAATCCGTTCTTTTGGACGTGAGAATCCTATTTCCGGGAAGAAGCCGTTACTATGGTTACTTAGGTCTTGCCAGCAACCCAAATAGTCATAAACTACAAGAATAAAAAGGTAAAGAAATGATGGTTAGTTCGTTGAGAAACTGACAATCAGAGAAATATATTATTATGTCAGTGACACAAGCTACTTGTAAAAAGAATTCTGAGTTCCCCCATGCAACAGGAGTCGAACCTATGACCTTCCGCCGTTCACCGGTCGACGCTCTACCACAGAGCTACAGGAGACTCGTGGGAGCTAAGGCCATATAACTAGGTTCAAATGATACTATCAGACCACTAACTCGAATTCATAGAATAAATGCGTACAATATATATATACGACAGTAACTTGAAATACGTGTCTCGAAAACTCGTGGTGGTATATATAGGTGGGGTGCGTTTTAGGGCGAGAAGATCGGACAAGACCCAGGCCCACTCCACATCATGGAGCAGCCGAGGTAAATGTAAGAGCGTTTCTACGCCCTCTCCCGCCCTGTTGACAAACCACAGAATTGACTGGATTAGGGATTCATTTGGCCATTTCTCATTTAAAAGAAATAGAGCGCGCGCAAGCTTGCATAGCCTGATGCAAACTCTGTTGAGAGTTTGTGAGAATTCGAATAATTATGTCAGGACTCAAGTCTCTCACAGGCATCTCAGCTGAGTTTTGTTTAGAATTCGAATTCTCCTTACTTATTTGTTATTTTGTTTAATATTCACTGGACCCATAATTTAATTTGCTTATTTTTGTAATTTTTATAGATATCTGCCTAACTTGCATATAAGCCCTCAATGGTCATTTTAGGCAGCTAGTACCACACAATCGAAGCTCTCTAGCGGACACTCTCGTAAGCGAACAGTTCTACTTACAGCCGCCTTGACTATACCCCGTTTGAACTCTAGCTCATACAAAATCTGTATTTACACATTCCCGTAAGCGGCCAGCTCCAGTTTCGGACACTGTTTCTGCTTCCCGAAGGTGTCCGCTTACGGGAGCTTCAACTATATTTAATAGTTTTTAATAATATCGTAATTTTCATTCCTTTAATGTTGTTGTGGTTGTTGTTGTTGTCACTGCAGTTTAATTATTGAGAATGTACATTCAAGCTTACCTTTCTGGGCTTGCAAAAATATGCACGACTCCACCAACACAAATATCAAAATAAGTTTCATCGAGTTTTCATAATCTTTCGCCTACAGTCTTTCCTGGTCTGGTACTAATTATGGATTATTCTTCAAAGTGAACCTCTGAAACAACGAAACAATGCAATTACGGTGTGTAAGGCCCGGTTCAAACGTCTCGCTGTCGTCGGTCGAACTCAATTGATCAATGCGACTGTAGCGCGACTGTAGCGCGACTGTAGCGCGACTGTAACGCGACTGTATCGCGACTGTAGCTCGACGGGCGGAATCAACATCGCGCCAGAGACACGTATCGCTGGTCGCAAGGCGCGAAGCGCAGAAAGCGTAGATCCTCGTGCGCGAAGCGGCGTGCGAGGCGTTTTCACACTCGCTCCAGATCTTTCGTTCGAAGACCGCGCACATTCGTATGACGGACCAACGCAAAAATACGACTGTTTTGCAGTCTACGCGTAGCGCGACTCTGGAGCGATACAGTCGCACTAATCTGGAGCTTAATTGATCAATTGAGTTCGATACGACGATGGCCGGGGCGTGATGTCAAATCAATATACAAAATAGATGGAGTGGCTGCAAGTAAAATTACTCTATCAAGGGGGAAAGGGTGAACTTTTTATCATGACAAAATATGTTGTCGACAACAACCTGGAAGAAGCTAGTACACTTACTGTATTTTCTTGAACCTGTACGGACCTTAAGCAACCACCGACGGCAACTCCATGGAAGTGAATTTACGTTCCTATAAATTACTGCGTGATTATTCTAACACGTTCAATTTGTCCAATGTGGCCGAATTGTCCAGGAGCTGAATTCGTAGGGACGGAGTTCAAGTCCAAATGGCGAATGGAAAATTCACCGTCGTGTGTTCACGTTCTCCATAATACCGTGAATTTTGGTCATTTGACGTGGCAGGGACGGCAAAGAAATGTACTAATATGCAAAACGCACGTGCAGTGCTATTGAACCACTAGTAATTATACCTATTCTTTTAATTTGTGACGTTCTCGTTACCGTCGCCGTCGCCGTCGCCGTCGCCGTCGCCGTCGTGGTTTCTTAAACACGAAGACGCACTATAAAAGGAGAGGTACCTAAGGTACCTCGAGTTCATTTGTCAATCAACAGCGAACGAGACAATAGCTGAAAATTAGTCGTCAGTAGAGAATAAATAATGTTTCGTTTTTCTTTCTATAAATCATTCTAAATCCCACAGAATAATGACTAGTTTCTTGAAATATTTCGGTGTGCAAGAAACAGCAAAAGAACATAGAATAGTATCATAACTAACGTGCGTGTTTACGCTGACACTACCCGCGAAATTCAAACTCGGTCATGAAAGTTTCATATTTGAAGTACATCATTTTGAATTATCTGTTCTAAAAGTTTTAATTCACATCTTACCGAGAACAAACGAGGAAATTTGAGACAGTATAAGGTTTATGTTCATAGTGGATACACAAATTGTAAAGGAATACAAGAACATTACAAAGCTCTAGCCTCCACGTGCAATACTAAAATGCAAATTAGATGGAAAGTAGGAGGAGCTTAGCCTTTTATAGTGCGTCTTCGTGTTTTTAAGGTTCCTAATTAATGGGGCCGAATCAGAATCATCCCTCCCCATCCAGCCCCTCTGGAGTAGACCCCTGTCTTTGTCACTTCGTTCCAGCAAATATAATAAAATTGAAAGAAATGATGGTAAATATTTTAAACTTGGTAGAAACACAATGAGAAAGATATTATTCAGTCAGTGACACAAGATACTCGGAAAAAGAATTCCGGATTCTCCCAACAGGAGTCGAACCTATGACCTTCTGCACACCGGTCGGACGCTCTACCACTGAGCTCCCACGAGCTGTCTCCTGTAACGGAGTGGTAGAGCGTCCGACCGGTGTTCAGAAGGTCATAGGTTCGACTCATAGGTTCGACTCCTGTTGGGAGAACCCGGAATTATTTTTTTCCGAGCAGCTGAGTAATATCTTTCTCAAAAAATTTCTCATGTCAAGGTTTATCATACTTGGAAAATTAAAGAACACTTCAGAAGTGAAGCACTCTTAAATCTGTCTAAATTTCTCCCACTCTGAATTCAAACATTATTATCGTCGCATAACCAGTTAGAAAGTTCATTATTTCGTAAATCTCGGCCAAAAACTGGTGGAAATCGAATTCGAAAGAAAGAAAATGGAGTGCCACAATCTTACAAATTAACTTACTTCTCAGTAATTAGTGATTATCATATATGTCATTTGATGTCTTTAATTTATCTACTCACACAGGATACACTTCATATTCTAGAGCAGAAGAAAATAATGTGTAGTAAATGTTTCAATTTAAAGAAATACAAATAATAAAAGAGCTTAGCACACAGACATTTTTGAGCAACGGACCGGCCACCGGAAGACGAATGTTATTGTTTTTAGCGCGCTGAGTTGGAAAGCCCTCGCTTTAGCATTTATAACTTGACGGTACGGACGAAACGTCGATAATACGCGCCAAAGAAGGGAACATTTGACTTCTGGTTGCCGTCCGTGGCTCAAAAACGTCTGTGTTTAAGCTCCCTAATGGCTTACCCGTAACCCTCTCAGTTGATCTCTCCGTAAAAGCGACATTATCACTAGATCGTCATACAATTGCAATCACCTGCCACAGTGCCCTCGCATGAACTCCAACACGATAACACCAGCTGCCTTGTCTTGTAATGAATCAATTCCTCCTAACCCCTGTGATTATAGAAGGCGTTTCGAGATCGTTGTGAAACTATACAAAATATTTTAGCAAGAAATTCAAGGCGGGATAATTTTGTTTTAAAGCGAAGAATACCATCGAAATGTTCACATACTTACAATTTTTGCTCAGTGGATAAAATGAAAGTCATGATTCGATTTGAATGTTTCAATCGTCTTAAAAACGTTCGGAATTGTACATTGTTTCGTTAGACTCTTGTCTTTCTATCCTTTGCAATGTTTCTTCAACTCAGTAAATTTTTGTACTCGACATCAAAAAGAAGATTAATTCGAGTGTAAAATTTGACTTGTTCGTGAAAATCAACAGGTGGCTGATTTGTGAAACAACCTGCAGAAAAACTTAAGGTTATTGTTTGCTTATCCAACCACAAGAAAACGAAAATTAATAACGATGGGCTTAAAAAAGAACTTCGAAACCGCCAGTATTATACTACAGTCGAAGCGCCCGTAAGCGGACACCCTCGCTAAAGCAGAAAAAGTGTCCGCAACTGGAGCTGGTCGCTTACGTTACGGGAATGCTGTAAATACAGAGTTTGTATGAGCGTGAGTTCAAACGATATTTTCAAGGCGGTCGTAAGTAGAGCTGTCCGCTTACGAGAGTGTCCGCTCAGAGAGCTTCGAGCTTCGACTGTTACAATGGGCGAAAAAAGAATTTCGAAATAGCCACTATTATACTAGTAGATAGATAGAATAGATAGAAAACTTTATTTATGTGTCAAGCCTTATAGCCTGGGAAAATCCCATACTAATTTGGGGACACAAAAAATAAATAGATACTAACAAATTGAAAATATTTAAAACTGTGTAAAATATCTAATAATAGTATAAAAATCTAATTAATACTAATCATACTAATCTAACAATCTAGTAGTAACTGATCTAATAATCTGATAATAGAATAATAATCGCTAAAAATTTGATATATATAAAAGTGATAATATTATATACTTATGATGAGCAGAGGGAACAACCCTTACAACCATCATCCACCAGTGAACTTATATCACATTTACGAATCTTGTTTTTAAAAATATTTAAAGTTTTTGCAGATCTAACATTTGGAGATAATTTTCCCCATAACTTAGGTCCAAGACAACACAAAGAATGCTACCGTATGTTACAGTATTATAACTAGTATGGAGAAATCTGATTGTCCTTAAAAAGTAGGAAGAATTATGATTATTAAAAATGTTACAGATATAAGTTGGGCATAGTTTATGCTTCACTTTGTACAAAAGGATGCAGATATCCTGCAAGCGCCTATTCATCAGCGTTGACAGCTCAGCCCTCTTAAGTAATTGTGAATAACTTGCATGCTTGTCTCTGTACACCGCCCTTAGTCCTCTTTCCTGCAGTCTTTCTAGTTTCGCGCATCACTAAATCTACAAAAATGCCAGACTAAATGGCAATACGTAAGGTACGGTAAGACTGCTGATTTAAATAGTACTAGCTTAGCCTTTGTTGGAATTAAGAACACCGATCCTTTGACTTGCCTTCTTACAATTGAGATTATGTGATCAGTAAAGTTAAGTTTGGAATCTATTGTAACACCTAAGAGCTTGAGATTTTCTACTGTTTTGATTTCCTCATTGTTCACATAAATTGCATGCGCCGCACTGTTATTATCCTGACTGTAACCAATGTTCATAGTTTGATATTTCTTGAGGTTCCCAGCAAGAAGATTAGAATCATACCACTTGGTAGCAGTGCGCGCACTATCCCTGAGCTTCAATCACTTTCGTAAGCTACTGAAGCATATAAAGGGATTCTAAATTAGGGAGCTAAAAGCTCTTCTTTGGCGCGTGTTGACTTTCCGTCCATAATGTCAAGTTGTAAATGCTAAAGCGAGACCTTTCCAACTCATCGGTAGGGGGTGACGCGCACCAAAAAAAAAACACTTCCGGTTGCCGTCCGTGGCTCAGAAACGCCCGTGCTTAAAAGCTCTCTCCACCCAGGAGTATAAATGAGTACCGGCGACAAAATGCTGGGGGTAACCTGCGATGGACTAGCATCTTATCCAGGGGAGTATCAATACTCTTAGTCGGCTTCATGCTACGGAAACCGGAATAAGCAGTCCGGCAGTGTGGGCCAGTTTGGCCCAAGTGCTTTACCTCTATTATTTTTCACGCCATATGAACCTACAGCTCTAAAACCAGAGTGCAGAACAGCCATACAACTAGCTTTACGATTTCACTAGATTGCGCTGTTTTAAAATGAACTGTACTATACTGTACCACAAAATGTTCCGTTACGTTATAGTTTAATAAGGTAGAATAAATACCAGAAAGCTGCTGACATAACATGGTGTTGGCTGGAATTGAGGGTTTTTTATTGTCATGTTTATAATAACTTTCATATTTTCGTAATAACATAAAGGGCAAAATTAGCGTGATAAAGATAACGGGTGTTCTAAATTGGCAATCTTTGGGAGACTATCACATTCAAAAATCTTCGGGGACCTCGGGTGATTTTCGGAAATCCGTTGAAATTTTTTGTGAATTTTGGTCATTCGTCGTTTTGCTTGGACTAATTATAGCATGTGATTACTGAAGTATCGACAAGTACTTGTGAGTGGTTTTTTTTAAACGGATAAAGTTGATAAGCCGGCACATGCGCCGAACCGTGAAATACTCCCTTTAAAGTTTACAACAATCTCGTTCCCAGAGTCCTCGTTACCCTTGTCCAGCGGTGGAGCGGCCAACAAGGAGCTCTGGGGGAAGCGATCCGCCATGACAGGATTCTTGGACTTCCGGCTCTACTGCGCATGTGTTCGACCCCATGTTTCAACTAACGGACGCCAAGATTCTTGGATTTCCGGTCTTACTGCGCAAGTCAGGCGAATCACTCTATCCCAGAGGTCCTTGTTGGCCGCTCCACCGCTGGACAAGGGAAATGAGGACTCTGAGAAACGATATTGAGTTTACAATAAAAACGCATTCAAGCGCATCTGTATGAGATTCTTAAGGTCCTCAAAATGTCGTCGTCACACTTATTGGTTAGTTTAACTCGACATCTGTTACGCCCTTGGCATTTCCGTTTGATCTTTTTGTAAGATATTGACGATTGGCACAAGTTACCGACCTCATCACACGATGCACACGAACAGTTACATTTGACGTATTTCAAGGATTCTAATTGTATCTTTTTATTCTTCCGTACTGAACATTTATCCAGTATCATGGTCTTGTTTTTGTTTCCACAAATGCTTGCTGTGAACACATTGCCAGCACCTAGAAAATTAAACAAGAGATTGTTTAGGAGACACAAATCCAAAAGGCATAGAGGCATTTCGTCCTTTTTGCCTGCAGAAGCCCCTGTGCGAACAACCTCGTTCCCAGGGGCTCTCTTCCCCCGCCTCCAAGATCGAGAGAAGAGGGAAGAGAGACCCTGGAAACGAGGTTGCTGTGCGAACGGTCTCAACATATGTCTCAACCTTCTCTCGGCATTTGCTGAGAGCCGATGTTGAGGCCATTTGACACCAATTCTCAACAATGTTGAGAGGTGTTGAGACATGCTGAGAAGAGACATGTTGATTTCGTTTAATATTGTCGCAACATCTCAACATTTTATTTGTTCTCGAAATGTTGAAGCCGTTTGACACGCTCTCTCCACTGTTCTCAGTCCAGACCTCGCGCATCTCACTTGTTGAGCATAAATTTTGTTGAGAGGTTGTTGAGGCTGTTTGACACGGCATTGTCTCGACATCTCTCAACATGATTCAACAAATATTGGAGAGAATGTTGAGACCAGGCGCGGCTTACACCAGACCGGCTTACACCAGACCGGCTTACACCAGACCGGCTTACACCAGACCGGCTTACACCAGACCGGCTTACACCAGACCGGCTTACACCGTTTTACGAAAATTGGTCGAATTTTTGCAAATGACTCAAAATCGAGGTAAATATAATTTTAGAGATATTGCAAATCTAAAAACGTTTTCGGGGAACCTTGCCTCCGGACTTCCATAAATTAAGGGCTTAAGGGAGGGTCATCGTTCACATTCTGCCTAATTATATACAATACTGAACTAACGATTTATCCGATAAACAAAAATTACATAACGATAACAAAAATATGAACCTGGCCCTGAATAAGCAAGCCCGTACATCTACAAATAAAGAGAAAAATAGTTAACAATTTGTTTCTGACCTTGGCTCAAGGCAGGGTTGATATTTTGCGGTGTACATAAATCGATG